CAAGGACAAATAACCTGACACTGCAGCTTAATGATACTGCTTGCTCTTCCAGCTGCTTTCTCATTTGGTTTTGTTTGATTATTTCTTAACTTTAAGAAGGTCAACTCTGGAGGCAACTCCCCCCTAATCTGAAGCCTCCCAAAAGCTGCCTGTACAAGCCTCAGGGAATAGCAGAGCAATGACACTGATGCTGATCAGGTTTACATTCTGGTTTGGATGTCGCCTTTTGGATGCATTGGCTGTATAGACAGTGAGACTGCATTTACGGAGAGCAGAGAGCCAGAACCTCCTGTGGCTACGGCTCAAGTTCATGTCCTGAAATACAGCAATGAAGAAAACAGGGCAAATATTCTTACCCCTTAAAACCTTCAGATCATCTCAATTATTGTGAAATTTCTTGCCAAATTATCCTATGAAGTGCCTGCTCTTGCAGGCTCACTCCCTGGCTCCTAGTAGTGCAGTCCAACAGCTGACCATTTGCTTGCTGAGCTGTCCAACTGTACTTTGCACATCACTTCCATTAAATTATCACCTCCAGAACAACTGGACCACTAGATTTTTTCTATGCCAGAGGATATTTTAGACTTGAGTGGTTATGGTGCTTATGTTGTGGAGCACAAGCAGAAATGATATGCTGAGTATGACAGATCCCTACAGAGGACCCAGAGAGAAGCTCCAACCCAGCTGACATCCTAAGCAAGCAGGGAACAGCTCCCAGAAGCCAGTGAGATGGAAGAAAACACCGAACATTGTGTCTCTCATTTAAGGTAAGAGTAGAACGTACCCCTTCCCTTTGTGTGGAGCTGTCAGTCCACCAGAATATTGAGTCATTTAACAGGATACCTCAGGGACAAGGAAAGGATGAACAGTCTTGCTCACTCCTACACACTGTGCCCTGAACACCTGTAGCCTTCACACAGTTTTACAGAGAGAGGATCCTTTTATCTTTTCTTCCCGGGGCCCTTCTCAAGCACATGTAACCCAGACATGTTCCATCCCAAAACAGTTTGCCCACAGTAATGGTCCTTTACAAAATATTATATTGAAAAATCACTTTTACAAATTGGAGTACCTCTTTTGACCTCATTTTTTAATGTCTGGTATGGATTTCTATAAATCAATTATATCACTGGATTTATGAAACATATGTTCTTATACATAAGAAGCTTAAAATCCAAATTTGATAAGTCTGTGTCTCAGTATGTTTTACTAGTGAGGCACCTCAGGTTTATTCGAACATTTAAGAGAAGAAAAAAATCTTAGTATAGAGTCTAGACTCATGGACTGAAGTCAGAAATCCAGAGCTTCAGGCATTCCAGAGCTGCCTGATGTACTAGGCAGAATGAATCTGTGCTCCTAGAATACGGGGAAAGCTATGACTGATTATGCTGCAATACTTTACCAGGAAGAAAACTGGTCTGACTTCTGCTTTTACTTTCAGTCTTTAACAAAGTGTTTGGAACTATCGATGGTTTGCATTTGGAGAAGGAAAGAAAAAACTCAACTGAAAAACAAAGTCTACTGTCACTTAGACCAAAGAATCAAGAATAAATTTCACCTAGCTGCTCTTTAAAGAAATCAGAACAATAATAGCTGCCTACAAAAACACTACCTTTTGGAGTGCAAAATAATGACTGAATAGATGGTGTAATCTGACAGCAAACAACCAGAAATTAGACTGAAGAATTTTCTTACATAGCTCTGAAAAATCAAGATATGTCTAATGAAAATAGACTCATCATTTCATTATTCAAGCACAAACAATGCAACAGTAGAAAAATGAATGTCCAGATTGCTATCAAGAGGGTGTTTTATGGGCTGTAAGCCACTTGCTTTGTGGGTTATTCAGCAAAATGCTTTAATATTAGACTTATCATTTAATTTTAACTCTGATTTATTAAAGATCCTACTATCATGTTTTTCACCCAGAGGATTTGACTGCATCCCTGTGCAATTAGGGAAATGCAGAACTGCAGCCAAGGAAGCACCTAATGACGGGGTGCTGCTCAGCTCTGCAAAGACCCTGCTCAAGGAAGGCGGATGGAGCAGTTTTCTCCAAGCCTGGCTATGCCTAACCCTTGCTCACACAAGGATGAAGAACTGGAGTCTCTCTCCCTCTGTTCAGCTTACACAAACCCCAGGAAAACTTGCAGCCCTGTTCCTGTGTGACTATATTGATGTCTACGTATGAAAGATTTAGTAGTTTTATTAAAACTGTCGAAAGCAGAGTGAGGGCTTTAAAAGACACAGTGAGATACTTGTAAGCTGGAATCCTCTACAGATAAGAACCTGAGCAACCTGCGGGTGCTTTACCCTTGACAGACACTGCATATACTTGCTGTTTGTTAAGCAGTGAGTAAGAAAGCTTTCCAACACCTCCCTAGGACAGTAGCGTGTTTAGCTGGAGCAATAAAGTTGTTTTGACACACTTAACTGATGAAGTTGTTGAGGAAGGCAAGCTGTTTTGACTCCGGATGTCTGGTAGTTCTTGGTGAGGTTGAGTAAAGACACAGTTCTTGTCAATTAAGCATGACACGAAAGCAAGTCAAATTGCTCTGAACCAGGACAATGTGGTGTGTGAGCTGACAGTGGAATTACAGGTACTCCAGGCAGGTAGGTACATAAATGAGCTGGCTGGGAGGGGAAAAATGGACCACGAAAGAACAACTCCGGAACTGCTCCCTCAGGTGACATTCTGATGCCTACCATTTGGTTTCTCCCTGATGGGACCACGAGCCAGACAGCTTTGGGCACATTTGACTAACAGTTTGGGGTTTTAGTTGGATAACTAGTTAATTCACTGGATTTTTTTTGCTTTTGCTGGGCAGAGCTGCCAATAATAACTGAATAAACTGTGTGGTGGAAGAAACCTTGCCCATGGAGAGGCAGCCAAGCTCACCATAGGCTTTGTCCCTCTACGAGCTGCAGCAGCTTGAAGAGGCATGCAAGGAGGACTGAGGTGGGGGTAGCAGTTCCTCTTCATGTGCAGGAACTGTACCTGTAGCTGGTAAAAGCTATTCCAGGATGGAGTGCAACAGCCTTGAGGGGTAGGAGACGCTGCTCCTGCTGGGCTATACAGCTTGGCACCCCCAGCACAGCAGCTCTGCCGTGGCCTTTGCTGTGCCCAAAGGCAGAACTTGGCTTCACTTTGAGCTACCTTCTGCTGCATTTCCTCACCCAAAGCAAAGCCTTGTTCCATAGCAGGTTCTCTGAACTCACATAAAGTACTGTAAGTAATCCAGGAGTAAGCACTAGCAGGTAGAATGCCAAGAGAAGGTACTGCTTGGGGAGTCCTTGTCATAACCTGGCCTTTGTTGTAGCTCAAAACAGTCTTCAGCCTCCATCTCGCTGAAGATATGGGGCTATTTTTGGCTATAACGAGAGAGCAGTGCCCTGACGCCCTCAGTTGTGCTACCCGAATATGAGAAACACAGTTCTTGGTTCAGCCGTTCTCGGTTCAGCCATTTACAGCGGTCAAGACCCGCAAAACCCCCTGCTGATATCCTCATTCCCTCTGCTCAGGTACAAATGACTGCAGATGGGGCAATGGAGATGCAAACAAATGCAAATGAAGAGAAACATTTTACATTTCAATAACCTCAGGGAGGAGAAGGCAGGGTTGGTGGGGAAGAGATGCGTTTACACATCACCTGAAAATTTCTCTGTTTGCTACAGCAGGTGTAAGGAAAGAGTGAGTTTGTTAAATACAGGGACTTCTTCGTCCAGCCATTCAGGTCAGTCAAAATGATCTTTTTTAAATGTATGTTCCAGTGATGAAGAAGGCCTAATGCTTAATTAAAATGGTTTTCTAGTGACTGGACTATTGAACATACTTGCAAAGCAAAAGTTAACTGAACTATTCAATGCAAAAAGTAACTACCTGACAACACTGCTGTAGTCACCATCACGACTCTATTATACAGATTAGTCACTATTGCCAAAATATTTTCGAACCTAATGAATGTAAGTGCAATAATGAGCTGTGTGTTTCTGCCTCTCTAATAAAGGGGAAACACGACATTTATGCTCAGAAGCCCCAAGACAATTGGCTTGTTACAATACTTAAAATCTGTCAGAGTTAAGATCAGTAGGATTCTGTGTCCACAGGGACAGGATTTCTCAAGCAATAGCCCGAGACCAGCAGATAGCCACGGCTTTACTTTGGCTAAATCTCCGACACAGTAGTTCTTAATTGTGCTTTTAGAGTAAGAAATTTTAGAACAAACCCCAGTAATTTTATATTAAAAAATATCCTCCCATCAAAACTCACCATTTGCTTACAAAGTGCTGCTCTTCCTGAACACCTATGGGATCTTAACAACTGCAGCCAGCTGTGACCAGCGATACACGGAGAACGTGTATTATGCTACAGCTGGAAGACACACAGATTGTGTCTTTAATCACATACACATCTTAACTTTGCCAACAATTAAAGCCGGTACCAAGTTCAGCGGCCAGGCACCTCGAACGCCCGGCTCTCACTCAGCATCTCCATCAGCCCGCTGCTTTCGGGGCCCTGCGCCGTCTCTCCCGGTACCGAGCCACTCTCTCGGCAGGCGCATCCCGGCGCGGTGGGGGCGCGGGCAGCGCTGCTCGGGGATCCGCCAGCCCTGCTCGCTCCTTCGGGCCGACTGTAAGAAACCCAGCCGCCGGCAGCAGAAGTTTAATGGGTAGGGACGGGACCCCCGACGCCGCCGGCCCGGGGCACCGACGGCCGGCGGTCCTGCGAACCCGCGGGAGCCGGAGCGCTGCGGGGCAGGAGAAGCGCCGGTCCCCGGCTCCGCGCAGCGGGGCGGGCGGTGCGACCGCGACTCGCCGGGCTGGGAGGTTAGCGGGGGGACACAGGGAGCCGGACACCCCTCTACTGCGAGGCCCCCGGTTGTCACAGCAACGCGGCAGCGCCTCTCCCCAAACTTTGGTCGCTATAACGACCGGGCCGCGGCCGCGGCATCCCCCGGGCGGGCGGTTCTGCGCCGCGGGGCCGTCGGGGCGGCGCTCACCTATGGTGGAGACGACGGTGCCCACGAAGTAGAAGGCGCCGGGGAAGTCCCAGCGGGGCCGCAGGGCGTCGACGCGGATGCCCGCGGCCATGGCCGCCTCGTAGCTCCGCAGGAAGGCGCGCAGCTCCGGCAGGCTGATGTTGAAGATGCGGCTGAAGTTGTGCAGGGTCCGGTTCCAGCGGAGCTGCGCCGCCGCCTCCGACGGGCTCTCGAGGGCCGAGAAGACGGTGGCGCCGGCGCTCAGGTACGCCGCGATGAGGGCGGCCAGCAGCAGGAACCGCCCGTTGTCCTCGTTGAGGGGCGCCAGGCGCCGCCGGCGGCAGGAGCCCGCC